AGACAGATAGACAGAAACAACAGAAGGAAAGCTTTAAAAAAGTAGGAACTACCAGTGGCGCCCTCCAACCATCCGCTAACATGCATGTATACTTTGGAGTTGTAAGTGTTTGTCATGTACGGGGGCTCTTTTATTCATAGAGTGTCAGTTCCCTCCGGGGCAGTGCCACTGACTGTAGTGTCTTTAAGTCATTCCCAAAGGGGGGACATTTCTCGTTCAAGCACAGTAGAATTGTAAATGGGCTGATTCATGTCACGCTCATAACTGTGCCTGATCTACAACAGGGAACTGCTGCTTTTTCTTTCCTAATCCTTACTATTGTCATTTTTCCTCTACTTCTTTAGTACATGTAGGCCTATCATGTTTGTCACTCTTGTGACCCGCTATTTCCGGGGTGCCTTGATAGTTGAAGCAGACCTTGTGCTGTCGAAGCTAGAGAGGTGAGCAGAGTAAGTCGGATTCCCTATAAAGACTTCTCTGTTGACATCCACCCCTTGGCACTCATATGACCTTATGCATTTGCGAGCGCCGTAAAACCTTCTACTATAATAAAAAAAAGAAGAAGAATGTCAGTGGTGATAACTTCCATCATGCGGGGCACAGTCGAGGCGGGGGTGGGCCCATGACTGTGACCAAAGATAGTACAAGACAAGATGGGCCACTCAGACTAAAAAGTGTCCGCAGGAAGTATGCTCTTTGCTTCAGATGGCGCTGCAGTCTGTTTTGAAGCTCTCTTTCGTTTTTCCAGAAGAAGAATAGGAATAGCACCTCCTTGCGTGCGCAGATCGACTGCTGTTCATCAGCAGTTCGGGTACGTTCAGTGCGGAGTTTTAGGTTTCTTTTATTTTAATGACCTCTCGCCCTTCATTCTAAAGTCAAATTAAACGAAGAAAACCATCTCCTTTTCCTCCGGAAGAGGTTTTTTGTCAGCGTAACCATTTTTAAAAAGCGTTCTTCCGAAATTTATCCCAAAACTGGCTAGTTTCACTTTGATTTATTAAAACTCAAAGTAGGGTAACTCTGTTCGCAAAGAGTGCGCTTTTGTGAAGAGGGCGCCACCAAATTTTGAGGACACTTTTTTAATTGGCTCAAAGAGAGAAGTGGCCCATCTTGTCTTGTACTATCTTTGCTGTGACGAACTGGCAGCTTCCGTATGTTAGGCCAGAGACACTAAAATATATTTTAGTGTCTCTGGTTAGGACTACACAATCATGATGGCCTCTCTTTCAAGGTGTTTGGTTGATGCTGTGTTTCCAAAACTAGTAGAAATGTGAGGCAGCGTGGTGGAATCAGGCTCTCGTCAAAATAATCAAGGTGAAGAAACTGGCATTTTTTTCTGCAGGTTTGTGGATTTTTATCGAATTTTCGTTTTTTGGCCCAACAGCTGTCATGTCCATTAAAGAACACATTTCTGTGTTGATTTTACTGAAAAACGTAGATTAAAGGCACAGAAAATGTAAATTTTCAGTTTTCACTCATCTCAAGCAAAGGAAATAACTCATCTTTGGCTGACATTTTCTCACTAATTTTACTCTGAAAAGAGGTGACCCCCACCTCATTCATTCGCAAATATCTTGACTTCTATTCAAGATAAAAGTGTATTTTTTTCAACGAAAGCAAGACAAATGAATAAGCTTTATGATGATACAAATTACTTCACATGCCCAAAAATTGACGAGAGCCTGATTCCACCACGCTGCCTCACAAATAAAGGAATATAGGTGTTTGTTTCTTTGTTTTGTTTTGTTTAAGTAAGAGTTGCATGGTGCTTGTATAACACTTAGGTTATATAAGTGATGGAGGAGATGAGAGAGAGAGAGAGAGAGAGAGAGAGAGAGAGAGAGAGAGAGAGAGAGAGACAGAGAGAGAGAGACAGAGAGAGACAGAGAGAGAGAGAGACAGAGAGAGAGAGAGAGAGAGAGAGAGAGAGAGAGAGTTGTTTTAGTAAGAGTTTTACGGCACTTGCAGCACAATAAGGTCATACAAGTGCCGAAGAATAGAGGTGTTATAAGAGAGTAACATATAGAGATAAGGACGATAGATATTTGATAGGAAAGAAGAAGCAAACCACACCAGAGTACCCGCCACCCCCCCACTTGTTTCGTTTGTTTTAGTAAGAGTTGCATGGCATTTGAAACACACTCAGGTCATACAAGTGCCGAAGATTAGAGATGTTACAAGAGAGTAACAAACACAAAAAAGAAGGAGGCGAGAAAAGAACGATAGAGATGTTTGATAAAAAAGAAGGCGCAAACCCCACCAGACAGTGCACCCGCCAACCATCCATTAGATAGGTCTAGTTTTTTCTCATAGATTTAATAAAACACCATTTATCATACATGGAAGGTCCAACGAGTGGAAGTGGAAGATATCAACTCTGGGTATAATTTGTTCACAATGATATTTTAAAAAGATAATTAATCATTATCAGGCACGTGATAATCTCACATTCATATATGCACGCATGCTCACACACATACATGTACATGTGAGCACACATTTTCAGTTACACAAATTTTCACACACATACACATGCGCACACTCTCACCCATATGCACACATACACACACGCTTTCATTCATACTCACAGATCTAGCTTTAACACCAATAATTATCCTAATTACAGAGATCATTTCTATAATGCCCACCCTCGTACAAAACAGTTCTAGGGGCTTTACAAATTACAATACCTGTATTTTAACATAATGTTGCATTTATATATAATATGTATACATTATGTATGTGATCACTTATACTCATCAAAACACACACACACACATACAAGCAGGCACAAACAAGCACACACACACACTCTGTCTCTCATACACACGCACACACACACAAACACATACACAAATCAGCGTACATATGCATCTCATACGTACAAAATACATGAGTACGACTGTGTATACATACGCTCTTTAAATTAACGCTTACACAACACAATCAATGGCGATATTGCATACATCACATTATGAGTATCATGAATAAAAAGACGTATGTGAGGCAGTGTGGTGGAATCAGGCTCTCGTCACAACAATCAAAGTGAAGAAACCTGCATTTTTCCACAGGTTAGTGAATTTTTATCAAATTTTTGTTTTTTGGCTCAACACCTTTCATGCCCATTAAAGAACTCATTTCTGAGTGGATTTTTCTTAAAAACGTTGATAGAAGGCACAAAAAATTTTAATTTTCAGTTACCACGGACTCTTAAGCTAAGGAAGTTGCTTATCTTTGGCGGTTATTTTCTCACTAATTTTACCTCTGAAAATAGGTGACCCCCCACCTCCTTCATTCACAAATATCTCGACTTGTATTCAAGATAAATGGATATCTTTTTCAACCAAATAAAGACAAGTGAACAAGCTTTAAGATGATACCAATAACTCTACATGCCCCAAAACTGACGAGCGCCTGATTCCACCACGCTGCCTCACGTATGGTAACAGTTAAGATGATTACGAAATCAAAATCCCAACAAAACAAAAATCCTGAGTGCCACGACTTGTGGATTTACATAATGGGCCTCGCACGGCACCACCGGTAGGGTCAACACATCTGTCCCTGCGGTATTATGCGAAAAAAAAAAAAGTGAAATTATGCAAACTGAGCCCAAAAATGTGAAATTATGCGATTCTGTTAATTTTAAAACAAAAAATGATAAAGGAAAACAATAAGAAATTAGGCACAAAAAATGATCAAATGTTGCTAAATTATGCAGGGTGCAGAAAACCACGGGGACAGACACATTTATGGCAAAGGACACACAAACTTAAGTGATAAATCTGAATAAATTAAAATTGTAAATCTTTGAAAAGCATAAGTTAGCCCTGCATTAAAAGTCCTTACAAAGACATATCTACAAACTCCTCTCACAGGAGAGAAAAATATTATACTTAAAGGGGACCCACATTCATCAACAAACACACACATACTTACACACTCACACATAAGCACATGCTTACACATACACCCACACACATACACACATTTACACCCCCACCCAAAAAAACATGTTTACACATACACCCACCCAACCACCACACACACACATTTACACACCCACCCTCAAACACCCACCCACACACACAGAAACACACACACTCACACACACAGAAACACACAAATGCAAGCAGTCATTCAAATACAATTGTGAGGCAGCGTGGTGGATTCAGGCTCTCGTCAAAATTATCAAAGTGAAGAAACCTGCATTTTTGTGCTGGTTTGTGAATTTTTATCAAATTTTTGTTTTTTGGCTCAACACCTTTCACGCCCATTAAAGAACTCATTTCTGTGTAGATTTTTGTGAAAAACATTACTTAAAGGCACAAAAATGTAATTTTTAAGTTACCATGGACTCTTAAGCTAAGGAAATAACTAATCTGTGGCTGTCATTTTCTCACTAATTTTACCTCTGAAAACAGGTGACCCCCACCTCCTTCTTTCGCAAATATCTTGACTTGTACTCTAGATAAATGGATATTTTTTTCATCCAAACAAACACAAGTGAACAAGCTTTAAGATGATACCAATAACTCTACATGTCCAAAAATTGACGAGAGCCTGATTCCACCACGCTGCTTCACAATTATTAATCTAGTTTTCACATCGATTTACTAAAGTCTTTAAGGCAACAAATCTAAGTTCAATAAAAGCAAAATCCTTTGTAAAACATAAACCATACCCTACACAGCCCTAAAAGACATTTTTACAGGTTCCCCTCACAGGAGGGCAGAAGATCATCTCAATGGATGGGATTGTCCAACAGGAAACAAAACAAAAATGAGATTACTGACACTGATGCCGTTAATCAATTGGTCGCTTCTAAGGACAAGCAGGCCAACCCAGATTTCGAGGGTTTCCAGAAGTCTTGACCTACACCAAAAGTGGGCATTGCCCTACCTATAGGAGAAGTTTGGTTTCATTGGTGAGAACATTTGTTTAGTTATAGAGAAAACTCTCCTTGTTTTTTAATAAAACTGAACAAGAGGCAAAAACTTTCACCTTCGACTTTCTCAAAACAGCATTTTTCGGAATAGCCCACTTGTCCTTAAAAGTGACCAATTATAAAACGCCATTTATCAATTATATGTATTATTTTCCCACTATGGTCATACTTGAGAGCAAAATAAAACACCCAACAACTGTGAAGCTGATTTTTGATTGATTTGAGCATAAATATTACGCTTCTTTGCCCCCTGTGACACCATTTAGATGTGCTTCCAACACTTTGAGAAAATCAGGCATATCTAATTTCTAAATTCCATCACTTACCACCAGAGTTCACAACCCAGATAAAGGTTCGTGATGATCCTTCAAGGAGTTCACAACCCAGATAAAGGTTCGTGATGATCCTTCAAGGAGATCCAAACCCAGATAAAGGTTCGTGATGATCCTTCAAGGAGTTCACAACCCAGATAAAGGTTCGTGATACTTCAAGGATATCACAACCCAGATAAAGGTTCGTGATCCTTCAAGGAGTTCACAACCCAGATAAAGGTTCGTGATACTCCAGGGTGATCTGACACAGCACCTCGCCGCCCCCCATGCCTTCCACAGAACATTTCAGCCGACCTCTGACCCCCGGCTCCTGCCAGACGTGCGTCTCCACTACGTCCCCTTCCCCACACTCCTGGAGGTAACTGACCTCAACCCGCTTCAGACCTCTCACCACATCCTTCTCACTGAGACAGCCCAGCGCCGAGATGTCTCCGCCCCAGAGTTGGACAGATTCGGGAACCACAGAAGAAACCGCAGCAACGTTTTGTTGCCCAGATTCAGCGGAATCTCTGGCGTGGTCGCCAGAAACTGCCATCGATTTGCACTCGGATCTAGTTGGATTTGTCCGCTGATCTGAAACATTTGTTGTTTGTTGCCCTGAAGGAGTATGGTCCCTGCTGCGTGAATCAGAAACCTCAGAAGTTTGATTTACCGACAGGGATAAATGTTGGTCACTTTGATCCATGGCTCGCATCCTCTCTTTCTCAGCTTTCGTCTTTAGGAACAGACAGGTGTGGATTGCATCCGTGGCTAAACGGGAATAGCTGGCATAGTTGGTGTGGTTGTTGGAGTCAGTATCAGACCATGTAATCTGAAAGGGGAGGGGGGAGGGGGGTAATAATAATAAAAAAATGAAGGCAAGACTTTCGGAAATGTTCCTTGCTCAAATCAATAGCAATTGGAAGTAGTGGACACATAAGTCCAATCGGTAACAGACCAAAGAAAGGTTTTTTTGGTAGGGGGGGGGGATTCTTTTGTGTGTGTGTGTGCGTGGAGGAGAGGGTCGGGGTAAGTGTATGATGGCAGAAAACTAAATACTGATGTAAACATGATGGTAAACAGAGATGGAAAGAGAGAGAGAGAGAGAGAGAGAGAGAGAGAGAGAGAGAGAGAGAGAGAGAGAGGGAGAGGGAGAGAGAGAGAGAGAGAGAGAGAGAGAGAGAGAGAGAGAGAGAGAGAGAGGGGGGGGAGGGGGGTAGGGGGTAAGTCAGGTAGGAACTCAGACAAAAAATGTGAGACAGACAGCACACTGGAACACTTCAACATTGACAGTGGTCAGGGGGCATAAAAAATACAACTCACCATGAACCTTAAACTGAAAAGACAGGATGGTAATGGTAATCAAAATGAGACACAAATAATATTAATATGTGAGGCATCGTGGTGGAATCAGGCTCTCGTCAATTTTTGGGCATGTAGAGTTATTAGTATCATCTTAAAGCTTGTTCGCTTGTCTTTATTTGGATGAAAAAGTATCCATTTATCTTGAACACAAGTCGAGATATTTACGAAAGAAGGAGGTGGGGGTCACCTGTTTTCAGAGGTAAAATTAGTGAGTAAATGGTCGCTAAAGGTTAGTTATTTCGTTAGCTTAAGAGTCCATGGTAACTAAAAATTTACATTTTCTGTGCCTTTAATCAACGTTTTTCAGAAACATCCTCACAGAAATGAGTTCTTTAGTAGGCATGAAAGGTATTGAGTCAAAAAACAAAAATTTAATAAAAATTCACAAACCTGCGGAAGAATGCAAGTTTCTCTATTTTGATTATTTTGATGAGAGCCTGATTCCACCACGCTGCCTCACATATTACGGTAAAGTTCAACAAATGTCACTGCAATATTTTCAATCTCCTCCACTCATTGAAAGTTGCATCATGTACATAATTATTTTTGTACAAAAAGAGCTAACTCATAACAGTGACCCCCTCCATTGTTGATACAAAGGTTGTATTATATATAGTACTGTCCCAAAAAAATAAAAAAAACTATATGTTGCGGGAATTCGTCAGTCACAACTAAATCTATCTAAATGAAAAGTTAAAAATCTTTCTGCGGCAAATGTATTTTCTGGTAACTGTATAACAGAGTTTGGACTGCATTTGTGTTTCATTGTAAGGAACAAACCTACCTCAGAACGTCGGAAAAAAGTCTTTGCTGGTCGCTGAAACTTTTCAATCCGGAATGGTATCCCTTCCAACACACCTTTCCCAGCAAACTTTTGCTTGTACCATTCAGGAAGAGGCATTGGCTTTCTGGTGTCGGGGTTGACCAACACAACTTTCTTTTTGTGCGTCATAATCGCTTGAGGATTTCCCGGCAGAAAAAGCTCTATCTGCATTGTGATGGACCCGTTGCCCACATGCCCCAAGGAGACCCGAGCATCGAGCGGAGCTTTCACCAGGAAGCGGTTGTACATGTCACGACTCATCTCAAAGTCGGTGACCGCCACGAAGATAGTGCTACCAGTCTGATTCAGAAGATCAGAAAAGTCTATCATGCTGCTGATTTCACCTTCGCAAGAACAGAACAATCCTATGCTGCGAACAATCACTGCCGTTTTCATGAGCTGAAATAAGCTGGGGTGACCTGAATAAAATTCGGAGGAAAACATACAACAGGGTCAAAATATACTCTGAAATAAATGAAACAAGTCAGAGAATATGCTCAACCAACACTGCTCAACGTGCCCGGCACGTCCGACGTAATCGGTTGCCGATAAGATACGCACCTGGGCACAGACGCAGGATAAGAGTTAAAGTAGTATGAATAGAATCAGAATAGCTTTGCAACCGTAAGGTCGTGGGTTCGAATTCCGACAGGGGCCTGACGTTGTGTCCTTGGGAAAGGCACTTTACACAAATTTTCCTCACTTCACCCAGTGAAAATGGGTACCCAGCTATAGACAGCGAAAGATCTTGCCAGTTTGTTAGTGTTTGAGCGCTTAATCAGCTGCTTGCACTGTATGCTTCCCGGGAAGCTGAGAATGTTTCTGAGTGTTCTATGGTCTGTTGGGGTAATAATATAGTGTAAAGCGCATAGAGCCTGCTGTCGAGAGGGAATATGCACTATACAAATGCTATTTATTATTTATTATTATAATTATTATTATTATTTTAAAAACTGATGAGTAATTCAGATTTATTTCAAATGGATACGAAAATACAGAAAATCCCTCAGTGTGACATAGCTACATTGTCTACAATCTAGTCACATATACAGTGGTGTCTGCTTAAAACGATAAATAATAATAATTTAATAATAATAAGGGAGTGCTTATTTAGGCCACATATGGCCTAAATAAGGTAAGGGAGGGGGGTTTAGCTTATTTAGGCCACAGTGGA